TCCTGGGTACACAACAGCATCACCTGGGGAGCATTTTAGATGCCTGATGCCTAATTGCATCAGTCTCTGGGGGTGGGACCCAGTTATCAGTGTTCTTTAAAGCTCCTCAGAAGACACTGTGAACCATTGCCTTAGGCTGTAGTGCTCTCGATATTTACCTAAGACATTCATGAATCTGCATTTTCTTCAGTTGGTATTACAGAGCTACAGACCAGCTCTGACCCAAGCTAATTTATATAATGGCAGATAGATACTATTAAAAACCTTAAAAAAATTTAATAGAAGTCTTTGGTGATGTACTTACAGAGCCCTTATACTTTGGGCCAGGGGCTCTTGTAAGTTCTGCACGTAGATTGAATTATTTACTCTAACATCTTACAGATGAGAAAATTTCCCAGTGTTACACACTTAGTGTTTGGGCCAAGATTCAAATGAGGCACTCTGGCTCCAGAATGTTAACCACAGGTGACCAGCGATGTGGCTGTTAAAACTACTAGATGTGATTAGATAGGTGATATTCTTACTCTTCCATTTTGCAGGTAAAGAATCAAGGTACAGAGAAAGTGTCCTAGGATCACACAGCTAGTAAGTGGCAGAGCTGGGATTTGAACTCAAAACAGTCCCACCCTCAAGATGATGTTCTGTTAATAATCTAGCCTTTTTTTTCCTACAAATATTCAACTGACCCAGCTTTCCATAAATTTATATTACTGCAGATTGTAATTTGGTATTGCAGGTTTCATTTGCACTTCTGAACTTACTCTCCATGTTTTACCCAGAATTTTATTTTTTAAAAAAGAAATAAAACTTCGGTGGATTTTTCATTCTGCTACAACTGACTGCACTGGAGAAGCAATTACTACAGAGATGCTACAGCTGCTTTCTCGATATTAGCCCATGGGTTTAAAATGTCTTTGATTTGTAAATATGTTAGCTACCACAAGTCCATCAAGATGGTATGTAGAAAGAAGAAAATATTCTCCACTCCAAATCTTTATGTGCCTGAAAATGCCTTTTATTTCCCTTATTAGTTTGGTATGTCCTTAATTTTATATTAAAAATACAGATTTCTTCCAGCTATTGGACATTGTCCCACTTGAAACTTTTAAAAACAAATTAATCAGAGTTTTATGGTAATTACTATGTAAATAGGACAAATATATCTCAGCCCTTTGGCAAGCAGCCTTGACAATTGAAACAGTTTCACATTGTGGATTTCAATCAATGTAACAAAGTTACTGAGCACAGCCTAAAATGAATCAATTCTAGATTGCAGGAGGTTTTTAAAAGTTTCTTGCTTCTCGCATTTTAATATAAAAATCATCCCAGGCTATTGTTAGAATGCAAAAATCTGATTTGGGAGGCTGTAAGTGAGATGCTGGACTTCGTATTTCCGGTAAGGTCTCAAGTGATGTACATGCTGCTGGTCTGTGAACCACACTTTGAGTAGCAAGGACACAGGGTGGTGGTAAACTAGTTCTCCAGAGGAGGAAAACAAAGCCCTGGCTTGTAGTATTTGCTAATTTCCATGATATAAATGTTCCCACAATGACCACATTCAAGCTACCAACGTGATGTCATTGAAAATGGAGTTGGCGAGAGACATGCAGCATGCTGCCCACAATTAGCTCTCCAACCAGGTACAAGCCAGTTCCAGCACAGTTCCAGCACACCACTGGCCTACATAAGTATAAGTGCATGCACCTTCAAGATCCCACAACATAGCTGTTTCACTCTGCAAAGCATTTCAGGAGGTGACGGAGAATAAGAATGTCATAGGAAAAAATGACAAGATTAATTACAAAATTTTCAGCATAGGTGCAAAATAATCTAGTTCCAAGGCTATAGGCTGATGAGAGGGCATGTTTAAGAAGTTAAAAGACATGTGTGGCCAATAATGGAGCCTTTGGGGAAGATCTGAACCAGGTTTGGACTGTGATGGGTTTGGATGAGTGGGAAAGGAGAACACTCACAGAAAAGGAAGTGGGATACGCACTAGCAAAATGTGTGATGCTAAACAAGAGTGAAGGAAAACTTGGAATTCCTAAAGAGTTGGGAGTACAGTCATTGGTCCAGCAGAATGAGGGCATCCTGCTTTCACAAATGTTTTATTCTCTGGCATGATTGAGGAATAACATATTCAGATTAATCGAACATCCAGGTTAGCAGAGAGTTGACATATGTACCAAAAAGAAATGCCAATGTTTAAAGTAATACAATATATTAGAGTACCCAGAACCAAATTTCTTTTTCTTCTTTGATGAAGAAAGAACTTTGGGATCTTCCATGTCTCAGAGCCATGGCTTTGAGCACCTTTGGTCCCTTCTGGTAGGGTTCTGGGATGGAGCCTGCAAAGTTTTGTTTGCAGTGTCCTGTAAGAAGAGTGTATTTTCAAGCCTTTCTCCTGGGCTGTAGAATGAGAGCATCCTAAGAAACTGACTCCCTTGGAGAGAATTTCTAACTGGGAGAAATGCTCTCCCTTGTAGTGCATTGAGTGCTTAAGAGCTCAAACTCATTTCCACATCTGTAATTGGGGCTAATAATACTGATCTCATATGGTTTTGGTGATTATTAAATGGAACTTGGTCAAGAAATATTGGTGCTCAATATTTGAATGAGCACTACAAGTTAGTGCGGGCCTTGTAGCCAAGCATACACCATTACTAATTGTTAAATCAGGATCGCTTAACACAGACTGATTGTCTACAAGGCCATAAACCCCGTGTGAATTGTGGACAGGATGAGGCTGTGGGGAGAAAGTATTGACTGGTCCCCAAGCCTGCAGAGCTAAGGTTTCTGCATTCTGCACACATCTTTGAAAGAACCTTTGACCACCTGTGCACAATGTTTAAATGCCTAGGAACCTTCCCTTGCTACCCAGGCAGAGACTTTCCCTAGACCCCCTGACAGTTCCCTCAGTCAGCAACTATATGAGAGAATCTTCTTACTTTTCTAAAATCTGAATAGAGGTTTATTTGGGAAAAATCCTTTTCCCTCCTGTCTCTTGGAATAAATGTACTATTTCATTTTCTTAATTTGTACTATGTTAAGAACCAGTAGAGGGAACTTAAGGTCAATCTGTCTCTCAGGTTGAGTAACTCTAAGCTATAAGCTCCAGAATCTTGTCTTTGTCCCTGATTCCAAATGGGCTTGTGGGGAAAAGTGATATAACCATGAGATCACTGTGTTCTTTTAGATGATTTCCTGTTTCCTGTGTATTTAAATACACAGGGAATAATCCCGCTATTAAAATGAGACCCTGTATGTGTGTATGGGCAGAAGTTCAATGAAAAAGGAAGAAAAATATGCTTGCTGAATACCAGATGTAGAATGCATAAATCCTGTCAGAACAAGTGGGGAATAGCTTTTATGGCTGACTTGCAAGAAACCTAAGGGAATTGGGAAATCAGATAGGCATGTGTCAAGCAGACTTATTTAAATCATCCACTTCCTCAGCAAAATAAAACTTTGAGAGGGTTCTGCTTCCTTTTGTGGTTTGAAATTACAGTTGTACAGAAGTCCTGCTTGATTGAGGGCTTCCAAGCAAAGACGTTATACGACCTAGTTCAGGCGCCCAACAACACTGGGGTCACTCAATGCCTCTCCCTGAGGTCTCCAACCTTGCCTTGTGTGTACTTTGTGTCCTTTGTCATCTCAGAAGTAAATTGTAGTGCAGCTGACCACTGCTTCATGGCCCTCCAGCTTGTTGCTGCTAAAAGGCTTTTGCATCTGAAAGAGAAAGATGCCCGCTGGCTTCCTTCTTAGACCACTGCTGTCGATCCTGAGCCCAAACCTTAGTTCTGCAGGCTTGGAGACCAGGCAATGCTTTCTCCTTGCAGCCTCATTCTGTTCGCAGTTCAGGGCTTATGACCTTATAGACAATCAGTCTGTGGTAAGCAATTCTGATTTAAAAACTAGTAATCTGTGTATGCTTGGCTACAAGGCCCACATGAATTTGTAGTGAGAGATAAAACTAGATACCAATTATTTCCAGGTATAATATCCTAACAGGTAAGTTTTTCAGGAGGCCACATTGTAGTTCAGTAGGTTACTGGTGAGTATAGATACAAAGCAAAGGTATTTAAGTACAAATCATTTCCTTTAAGGTGTGGTAGCTCCCTAAATAGTCCTTCTCAGGATATTTCTGTTTTAAAATGTCCCATTAAATATGTTATTTTTATATACAGTATAATTTTTTAAAAGCATGCTGACATGGAAAGATGGGCTTTGCAGACCCAGGTTTAAATCATTCCAAATCTACTGTTTACTAATGTGTGCACTTCAGCACGTTACTCTACCTCTCTCAGACTCATTTCCTTATCTTCTTGCTGAGAATGTGTGTGTAAAAAGTATTAACACGGAATCTAGCATGGTGGCTAGCACTGTGTGAAGCCCTGACAAATTCTTATTCCTCACCATTCGTCTGTTCATCTGTATTAGTTCGTTTTCACGCTGCTGATAAAGACATACCTGAAACTGGGGACAAAAAGAGGTTTAATTGAACTTACAGTTCCACATGGCTTAGGAGGCCTCAGAATCATGGCGGGAGGCAAAAAAGTACCTTTTTTTTTTTTTCTTGGGATGAAGTCTCACCCTGTTGCCCAGGCTGGAGTGAGTGGCACGATCTTGGCTCACTGCAACCCCTGCTTCCTGGGTTCAAGCAATTCCCTTGCCTCAGTCTCCCAAGCAGCTGGGATTACAGGAGCCTGCCTCCATGCCTGGTTAATTTTTGTATTTTTAATAGAAACGGGGTTTCACCATGTTGGCCAGGCTGGTCTTGAACTTCTGACCTCAGGTGATCCACCCACTTCAGCCTCCCAAAGTGCTGGGATTACAGACATCCACAAGCGTACCCAGCCCCAAAAGGCACTTCTTACATGATGGCAACAAGAGAAAAATGAGGAAGAAGCAAAAGCAAAAACCCCTGATAAACCCATCTGATCTTGTGAGACTTACTCACAACCATGAGAACAGTGTGGAGGAAACTGCCCCCATGACTCAGTTATCTCCCACCAGGTTCCTCCCTCCCACAACACGTGGGAATTATGGGAGTAAAATTCAAGAGGAGACTTGGGTAGGGACACACAGCCAAACCATATCACTACCCATCCATCCATCCATTCATTTATTCCTTCACTAAACGCCTGTTGAACACCTTTTATGTGCCAACCACTGTCAGTTAGTGGAGGCACAGACAAGAGTGAGAGGTGAGCTCAGTTGATGGTATTTAGGTGGGTCTATTTCTGGGCTCTCTATGCTTCTCCATTGACCTATTTGTTTATTTTTTTCTCTTTTTTTTGCCAAAGACTTTCTTAATCTTTAACAATGTAATTCCAGTGAGAGAAAAAGAAGTTTCAGAAGTAATATTACCAAATCATGGGGAATTGTGGGGGTGGTGAGTGAGTTCAGGAGAGATACAGAGAGAGAGAGAGAGAGAGAGAGAGAGAGAGAGAGAGAGAAAATGAAGGCCATACAAGGTAAAGTGTTGAATGTTACGTGCTCTGTTGACTGTGGGCCCCAGGATGTGTATGATGGAACTTACTGAAACAGAATTTGCACATTTATAGAAAGGATGCAGTTTTAGAAAATAGCTAGTTATGCTAGCGTCTTGTTTCTTCATTGATGCTGCAATGTTATATAAGCACTGAATCCTCCCACATTTCCAGCTCTTATCTAAAAGCTAGAGTGTGTACCACCTGGGTTGAGAGGAAGATGAAATGAAATTGGGGAAGTGGGGAAGTAAATGGTGAAAAGCATCCTGAAAGAAACCAACTAGATATGTTCAAGTCAGCAGGTATTTAGTATTTAGAGTTATTTAGTAATTTGAGAAATGTGTAATGGGTGTACTGACATGCTTTTTCTCTCATTTTCTCCCTGTTCCACCTGTAGCAATTCTACCACCTTTGTTGACCTCTTCTTCTTCCCCGACTTACTGTTGTAGAGGCTACCTGAGCTCATTGTCCCTGGAGATGGACCAAATAGAAAAACAAGCAGTGCCTGTGTGGTGAGTTTCAAGAGGCATCTGTTCTCTGGGGAGTGGGTGGGTGGTAAAGCAAAGTTGGCAGATGTGCATATTAGCTATCCATTACTGTATAATTAATTATACACAAAACTAAACTATACACTAAACTAAAACTTCACAGCTTAGAACAGCAAGTATGTATTATCTCACACAATTTCTGAGAGTTAGGAACCTGAAAATGGCTTAGCTAGTTTGGTTCTGGCTCAGGGTGCCCTATGGAGTTGCAGCCAAGATGTCATCTGGGACTACTATCATTTGAAGGCTCAGCTGGGGCTGGAGGCTTCACTTCCAAGATGGCTCACTTATAGGGCTATTGGTGGGAGGCTTCAGTTCCTCTCCACGTGGAACTTTCCTCATGGCATGGAACTGGCTTCCCTCAGAGTGAAAGACCAAGAGAGACACTAAGACAGAAGATGCAATGTTTTTATGACCTAGTCTTGGAAGTGACATACTGTCATTTCTACCATATTTATTCATTAGAAGCAAGTCATTAAGTCCAGCCCACACTCAGAGTGAGAGGATTTAAGCTGAACCTCTTGAAGAAATGGTATCAAAGTATTTATGGACATTTAAAAAACCACCACAATACATATAGGTGAACTTCACAAGGTGCAGACATGGGCTGAGACAGAATATTGGATAATATCTCATTCTGCTAACAGCAGTCTCATCTGTAATAAAATTCCAGCATTCAGCAATTATCACAATCAAGTAGGAAAAGGGCTTGTTGGCAAAAACTTATCAAAGATGTTACTTCATTTATCCATTTATTCTGAGCCACAGCATAATAGCAACAAATTGTGTGTCCTGTGTAATTTGGGTACCTCTGCTCAATAATAGCTGAACAGATTTTATCCTATTTTTAGAATGGTTAATATATACACATGGCACAAAATTTAAAAGGTATAAAAGTTTCTGGTTCAAAAATAAGATTCCCTCCTTTTCTTTTTTTCTGATTCTTTGAATGCAATCAGATTTACTGATTTCTCATGTAATCTTCCATGTATAGCCTATGCTGTACATGTAGGTACACATATTTTTTCTTTCCCACAGATAAAATACTGTACGCATTGTTTTATTCTTGGCTTTTTTTAATGGACAGTATATCTTCAAGGACTTGTACAATAGCACATATAGACCTGCTTTATTTTTTTTAAATGTCTGCCTAGTACTGCATTATATTTATTTAAGCAGTCATCTATAGACAGACGACATTAAGTTGTTTCCAGTCTCTTGTTACTATGGACAAAGCTGCAATGACTATCTCTGCACATTCATCATTTCTCACACAGGAGTAGAATTCTTGTTCATTTGTAACATTGACAGATACTGACAAATTTCTCCCCAAAAGGGCTTACTATTTTGCTCGCACTACAATATGAATGCCTGTTTCTTCAAACCCTTGGCAATACAATAGACTATCCACTTTTTGATATTTGCCAATTCTGTAGGCACAAAATGGTCTGCAGTTGTAGTTTTAATTTTTATTACCCTTATGTATGAGGTTGGGCCTCCTTTTATGTGCTTAAAATCATCTGCATTTGCTTTACTATGAACTATTTGTACTTCATCTTTACCCACCTTCATATTGAGTTGGTGGGTTTTTATTTTCCTTACTGATTAGTGGGAGTTCTTCAGGATTAAAGAAATTAGCTCTTCTAAGGAATGGGTATACATGGACAGACAGAGTGGAATAATAGACATTGGAGACCTTGAAAGGTGGGGATAAAATACTGTCTACTGGGTACAATGTATGCTATTTGGGTGATGGGTATGCTAAAACCCTAGATATCACCCTAAGCAATACATCTATACAAGAAAACTGCCCTTGTACCGCTAAATCTATTTCTTTTTAAAAGAAATTAGCTCTTCATCTAGAATGTGAGTGGCACGTATTTTTTCCAGTGTGTTTTTTCCATTTGTTTTTTGACTTTTTAGTGGTTTTTTCTTTTTCCATGCAGTAATTTTAAAAAATATTTTTCTGTGGTCACATTTATCAGTTTTTTTCTCTTATAGTTTCTGGGTATGCATCATTCTTAGAAAGTCTTCCCACTCCTAGAGTTATTGAGAATCCTCTTAAGGTTTCTTTTAGTACTATCATAATTTGATTTTTACATTTCAAATTTGATTGAATTGTTTCTTTTAATGCTTTACTCTCTACTGAAGTATAAAATACTGCACTGACTTTGTGTTTGTTTTGTTCCTGGTTCAGATATTTCTAGTTTATTCTCAGTTTTCTTCATTTGTGAAATAGAGATAATAAATATTACTGAGTACCATCCATGACTGTGAGTGGAGATATGCCATCTTGATGACTGAAAGCTAAACCAGAATTTTCTTCCTTATTCTCACTACTTAGAAACCTTTGCTGATGATTCGGTTTGGTGCCCTAATGGGACAATTGAGACTAACACAGTCTATAAGATAACTTGCTTTAATTTAAAAAGGCAAAATCAAATTAGCCATTTCATATCTGCCTACATCGGGACTACTGCTTTCATTTGTAATGTTTAATTACTTTTTTTTTTCAAGAATACATACACATGTCTATCACTTCTAAAATAATTTTGGCTCCCTATGAAGCAGAATTGGGAAGTGTCTTAAAGTTAGTTTTGAATTGGTTATTTGGAACTCAAAATGATACTTCATTAACACAATACCTTAAATGTTGGTTAGGTTCTTGAGCCTTATTACAATTTCCATACTTATGTATTTATGATTCAGAATAGGAGGAATGGCGCTATGTCAATGATACGGAACGATATTTAATGCCATTGTGTCCCTATTAATATGCATCTGAGTGGCGTATCAGGAATCCCAAATATGTCTTCCCCAGTCCTTCCCCTGCATCTTAGCAGCATATGTGAGAACTCCAATAGGCACTGGGAACTGGTTGCAGGGCCGGAAAGGACACTCTGGTCAGGAGAATACCTCTTTATATTAGTACCAGGGAAAGCTATTTTCTAATATTTGGCAGGATCCTGAATAGGATAACTAGAGAAATTAGGTCTGTGGTGTAGAATTTCAGAGGCATATCATATTTTTTCTTGGCAAATAATATGGTTTGGCTGTATCCCCACCCAAATCTCATCTTGAATTGTAGCTCCCACAGTTCTCATGTGTTGTGCAAGGGACCTGGTGGGAGGTAATTGAATAATGGGAATGGGTCTTTCCTGTGTTGTTCTCACGATAGTGAATAAGTCTCACAAGATCTGATGGTTTTATATGGGGAAGTTCCCCTGCACACGCTGTCTCTTGCCTGCTGCCATGTAACACGTCCCTTGCCCTTCCGCCATGATTGTGAGGCCTCCCCAGCCATGTGCAACTGTGAGTCAGTTAAACCTCTTTTCTTTATAAATTACCCAGTCTTGGGTATGTCTTTATTAGCAGTGTGAGAACAGACTAATACAGCAAGCAATTAGCTTTAGGAAAGTGGGCAAGCATGAAATAGGGTCTTAGCCACCAAGGTGGGTTTTAAGGGAAGGAAGGTCCTGGGGAAGAGAAGGCAGCAGGCAGATTTCCAAGACAGGGACTTAGTCATACACAGAAAGAAGATAGTAATGTAGGTGTCTGGCATGGGAAGCAAGGTGGGAATTGAGGCTCGGAAATAAGAAAAAATCTAGATATCAGGACTAAAGTCTAAGACTACCTAGAAGAGTGAAATTAGGCTGAGCCCCACACTGATGGTTTGGAGGTAATTCATCTCCAGTGTTTAAGGTAGGGACCTGGGAACTGCATTCAAAGCATGGGTGAAAGGTGAGAATGAAGTGGGTCTGACTGTGGGGCAAGGAGAGGGCAGTGGCTGATGATGGGGCAGGGAGGACATTTACCACCTCCGAGTGGAAGTTTACCACTACTGAGACAGTGGATGACCATTATTTGGTGAACTTCTTATACTGCTGTATTTTGTGTATAGTATAAAATTCTATATATATGTTTCAGGATTATTTAATGGTTTTGCCCATGTGGAAAAAGGCATATGCTTATTCTATTTCTCAGTGACATTTATGAGTGCTATAATTATATTAACAATGATGAAAGGTTGCCTAATCAATATGTAAATAGTACTTACAGTGAGCCAAATCTATTAGAAAGCCAGTCAGTCTAAAAGAGAATAAAGTTCCCATGTTGCAAATACAAATTATGATAGTTTGGAATAAAAATCAAATTATATTTTGCTCTGTGATGCATTGTGCATGCTATCTATGTTCTTTGCATCTCCTTCCATCTGTCTTCCTGCTGTTTCCCTGCTCATTAACACCTCTACTAGAAAGTGGGCAGGGTGATGACAAGAAATAAAAATACAAGTTGAACTGCAACTAAGAATTTAACATTTAAAAAATGCCAACATAAGAATGATATAAATATCTCGATTGTGAAAATAGACTGTGACCCTGGTTAGTATATGGTATTTTAAATATGTGAAAAATGTGAGGAATTGGAGCACATCCCATTCAAAAGAACAAGTTCACAGAATGTTATCGAGGGAAAGGACCGCAGAGATAGACTGCAGGAACATCTATCCCTACAGGTGGGAACTGCAGAAAAATTCATTAAAAAAAAAAAAAAAAGAACTAGCAAGTACGAATAAACTCTTAAGACCTAATCATGTTTCTGAAAGCTAACTGCAAAGCTTGGCCTAAACATGGAAATGCTGAGGTCACTTGCTGGAGTCAGGGATGGCATCTGCAATGGAAAGATTTTTTTTTTTTTTTTTAAGAAGGTTATTTCAACATTTTCAAAAAGGAGGCTGGAGTGGAAATATATGACACTAGATAAATATACATCAAAACTTTCATATTATAATAGGCATATAGGTTATTCAGGCTACTTTTATTATGTTTCTACTTTACATCTCAAAATTTCTACAATGAACATGTATCCATTTTATTATGGGAAAGTGGGCTTTAAATAAAAATTTTATGTTCTGCTCTCATTTGTTTATCTGTCAGTGGAGTTTATTCAGTGAATTTTACCAGTCAACCCCTTTTTACAATGGGTTGGAGACAGGGATCAGTGCTAGGAATTTCTGATATGCAAATGATTTTAATGATGACAGCATAGAGTTTAGTCCTGATGAGGTCATGTATGCATGCTGATTAAATTTATCAGATTGCTTCTAAGCAGGAAGGACTTTTAAAATTTAAAGACTGAATGACCCAATTTGTAGGAAATTCAGTGGCTCAAACTATATTTTCTAAGTGGTGCGATAAGATAATCAGACACAATTAACTTGCAACTAGAAGACAATTACCACCACAAAAATATTAATTCTTTGTTCTAGAAATTGCCTACATTCAGTCTCAAATTAGAAGTATATATTAATATATATAATATACAAATATATTATTCATTACATATTACATGTAAAAGCTAATTTAGTATTACACATATTACCTATTAGTGAATCTCCCTGAGCTTTGAGGAAATTATAGACCTTAAAAAATTTTAGTGGCCTTTGGTACAAATGAAGCCAATTTTAGAATTTTACAGATTCTTTTATGAGGATAAATAAGTTTTTGTTTATAATTTTTGTGGTGCAAACTTAATGAAGTGCCCGAATCATCTGCCTAAACATGGAACTTATTTCAAGATGTATTGATTGATTTAATAACACAAAATTGCTGAAGTTTTTAAGATATATTATCTGAAACCAACTGGCAATTTCTGGTTATATTTCCAGATCTGGGAAAACTTTGGTAAACCCTATGTCTGTGAAAATGCTCACTTGCTTATGAATCTGATAAACTTTATTCTGAGATCCACTGTGAGTAATGCAGAACTGAATTCAGAATTGAGGATGTCCTGAGTTTACCCCAGAATTCACCAAAATATTCTAATTTGTTAAATACAAAAACTCTCATTGAAATGGATGAAAATGATCATGATTAGCATTAAAGCCATAAGTGTAGATTAAATAGCTTTCTATTTAATGCTTCTAAATAGAATGCTTCTAATGGTATATCCATGTTATTTTCTATTAAGATATATTCCACTCATGTTTATCAATAAAAGCCAAATGTATCACACACATACAGATTTCTGAAAATTGAAGTTTATACAAGTAAAGTAATTTTT